TACCAAACATTCGTCCTCAATCCATCAATTCTTTCTCCGGCACGCAGACTTGAGAAGATCAGCCAGCACAGAAGAACAGCTTGCAGCCAAAGCCTTATACCCCTCCGTCGCCAAGACAGCGTCAAGAACTTCAGGAGTGCTAACAATGAACTCGACACAGCTGGCCTTGAGATGCGAACAATTGTGCTGCTCCGCCAAGGCCAAAGTCGTCGCGGCCGTGTCGACGGTGATGCCACTGGAGAGCTTGTTTTCACAGATCATCTTGAGCCTGTCCAGTTCATACCTGTCAGCCGCCACAAGCAGATGCTGGGCCATCACAGCCACCGCCTCGAGCCCTTGCTCAAGCTCGGGCACCGTGTCGGTGTAGATGAAATGAAGCATGGCCTTGAAGACTGCGGCCTCCATGCCCTCAACCTCGACGCCGGGGGACGATTTCTCCTTCATTTCTCCAAAGAACTGTGCCTTGAAAACAGGGGACCTCGCGGCCAACAGAAGCTTGTACGCAGCAAAAGACTCACCGGACACAAGAAACGTGACATCCGCTCCCATTCCAGTATTCAGGAGATCACCGAGGTTCTTGTGCAAGTTGGCTGACGGCGCGAGCATCTCTTTCACCGGGGAAGTCGGCACCGGCGACTCCTTGAGCACCGTGATGGTGCATTCCACGGTCAAAGCATCGCCAGCGAGATAGCGCAAGTTCTCGACATCACTTACCGAGACGAGGTAAACACAAAGTGTACAATCCTTGGGATGCCTGAAAACTCCCGGCTCTTTCTTCACTGGGGTTTCGTACCACAGATTTGGATTCACCGCCTGGCAGCGTAGATTGGCCCTCACAACAGGGGTACGGCCGTACGGGGTTCGCCGAGCAAGACAAGGCGCAACGCCACCCATTTTTTGCCATCGGGGCTGCCCGCCGTCCGTGCAGGGTATACACATATCTCCCACTCGTGTCCGCCGGCGGCGCACCTGCCGGATCGGATGCAGTCGTCGCTGCCCATGGTGACCGTCGTGCAGAAACCGTCGATCTTGAGCCGCGTCACCAGGCGCGCAACATCGGTGATAGTGGTTGCCATTGCCATGGCGAGAGGGTGGAGACTGTATTCTTTTTTCACTAAGAAAGGCTGGAGACGGAAGATCTTTTTGCCGTGTGAGAAGACCGTGGGGTGGTGAGATTTATAGCACCGGGTTGTGCATGGCCTGGTCGATTAATTACCCATGGAAACGAACAGGTGATGAGCATCAGTCAATGCAGAATACGAAGAAACTACCTGTTGGCCTTCTCGATGCATGGATGGATGGATGAATGGATGTAGTAATGGCCCGGATTAGTTGTTGGGTCGCTTCGGGTGAACGTGTTGTCAAGCGTTCATAACGGGAGTAGTACTACCTGCGCTTTACATTGCATGAGTCACATGATTTATTTATTTTATTACAAACCTCAAGCGATCAAGGATTTTATTTTTAATTTTTTGCCTGAAAAACAGAGGAAGCACGGTCAAGGCTTTGCCAATATAAATCTGACACAATAGTAGGTTGGTTTCACTGTTTCAGGTGTCGGGTCTTGGCCTAACACAATCACTTGGTGTTTGTTTTCCAAAATTTGTAGTGAAAATGTGCTCAATAGAATTTGTAGTGAAAAAGTGGAAGAGAAATTCACCATCAATTATTGCTAGGTCCCTTCAATCTCCACATGAAGCAATTATTAACTTTGTTACAAATTTCTATAAACATACTCCCTCCGGTCCTTTTTACTCTGCACATTGGATTTGCCAAAAGTCAAACTTAGCTAAGTTTGACCAAATTTATATTAGAAATTATTAGCATCTATAATATCTGATAAATATAATATGAAAATATATTTCGAGATGAATCTAATGATGTTGGTGTTGTTATGTAAATGTCAATAATTTTTTATATAAACTTGGTCCAAGTTGGATGAGATTGACTTCAGACAAATCTAATATGCAGAGTAAAAAAGACCAGAGGGAGTACAATGCCATGCGTCGTGACCAGACAAGTTGAGGCGACGAGTCGGGGAAATATAGTGGCATCATGTTGTCGGCGGGCTTGCCGTGTCATTGAGTTGATCTTCCAGTTGGCCACCTTCGATGGATTCTCCACCTTCATTGGCTCCGGCAGCTCCTCGTGTAGATCCATGCGGTGGCGGAACCGAAACATGCGGGAATTGGGGGTGGGAAACGGCAGGGATCAGAGCGGAGAGGGTGAAAAAATTGGGAAGGGTTGGTGCCGAAACAGTTTAGACTGCTACATATGCGCCGGCTTCGCCTCAGTTTTAGATGGGCCAGGGTGTCGAAGTCCTACGTGCTGGAAGTCTGGACTCCCGGAAGCGTCCCTGGTTTGCTTCCAATTTGGGGGAAAACTGACGGTCGGACTAGTACATGGAAAAATACGAGACCCGGTTGGATGACTTGCAGTGCCCGGACTGGTTGTTCTAGACGTTTGCTGACGACTTAAGGCTCTACTTTTGAAATTCCCAAGATTACTAAGGGTGCGTAAAATATGCTTATGTGGCAGACAATTAAAGAAGAGAGAGATGCTAATAGTAACATAGGTAGATACCGTAACATAATAAATGTGATGGTACTATGTGTCATGCATGGCAATAAATGAGACCATCTATGATAAGGCTAGCCATAGTGGGAATAACTTAGGTAGTAACATAGCGCACTCCAAGAAATTTTTACTTATGTGGCATGCGGTTAATTAGGAGAGAGGTGTTTAGAGTAACATAATATGTTATTGTAATATAGTGCTTCCCGAGAAAGGATGAGTCTACAAGCTAATAAATGAAGTCATCTATGACACTACTACTATGTTACTTTCCACTATGAATGTAGCTAGTAACTTAGACTAGTGTCATATGCATGACACTAGTATAAGTTACTCCCCACTATGACCAGCCTAACCTATGATATTATGCACTATAGAGATAGTAACATAGACTAGTAACATATGTATGTTACTAGTCTAAGTTACTCCCCACTATGTCCAGCCTGACTCCGCTGAACTTACATAGTGCTATATGTATGCATAGCACCTAGATTGTAAAATAGACGTGCATGTGACAGTTTATGCTAGAAACAATATAAAGGAAGCATGCGATTTAAGAGCCATACCCGAAGGCTATTTTCCCCCCTTTACAACAACTGGATGTACTGCAGTTGAATCAATAGATGTTGTGAGGAATAGGTGGAGCGTGCAGGCGAAGGCCAACCAGGTATCCTAGAGGCGGTGGACGCAATCCAATGACATGCTCGTGTAGCATATCAAAATCAGACTGGTGACGAGTGGTGGAGAAAGAGTAAGAGATGTAGGACACGCGCATGCGTGACCCTGCTAGGCTGCGTGACACCGCTATTTTCCCTGTCCGATTTGGTCGGCATGGTCGATAACATGTAGTGCTTCGCCCTCTCGTCTCGCCTTGTTGTTGTACCTACCTCGCCACCAACGCTGTCCACAGCCATAGCAAAATCGGTGCCATGGTATTTGCGCACCAACATTAGCCTCTGAACCTCTAGGTATGTATAGTCGTATAATACCCATATTAGTCTGAGTTCTGCAGAAGAGATCGAGCAAAGAAAGGAAAAAAATTATGAATCATCGTCAGGTGATGAGGTCCTTGCTATTTATTAGAAAAACTCATGTGAGAAGGACATGTTATGAGGAAATGAAGCATTGCCTTCAGCTGTTACTCCTAGACTTGTTTCATGGAGAAGTTGCATATCAATGATATAGTGGGGATGTGAACAACCAACCGTTTCTGCAGTTTTTTTTTTGCATGGATGAGATAGTGGACTTACGGTTAGTAAACTAAAACAAAGAAAAAAAAGTGAAAACATAAGTGATGACATGGCATCATGGTAGAGAAGGGAAATTGCATGCTTCCTGATATGACATGATAGCTCAGTTGGCACGTGTGCATGTCAAGATAAATAAAGTAGTGGGCATGACTTTCTCCCCGCGCGTTTGCAGTAATTTTGTTTAAAAAATGCGTAAGTGGTTGTTCAAAACAACTAAATCTATACCAATATAAAAAATCCAAAAGGGCAGATCCAAGTGATCTCGGCCATCAAATTAAGTCAACCCAACGACCTAGACTACTCGAAAGGCGAGGGTTCAACATGTTTAATGTGCAATTAATATCATACCAATTATTGCATTAATTACAAAATTAACACACAAATAATTGCATATCTAATATCCGCGTGCAATTAATATATTGCCCAAATATTGATGTGCGTTGCACATTTACTAGTCTGATGAAAAGGAAGTATAACATTGAAAATTAATAAAAGAAAGTGTTTAAATGTCTTATGACTAAAATGTGACCCATTATACATGATTTATCTAAATTACATGACAAAATTAAAATAACTTTTTTTATCAACCACTATACATGACCTAAGTTATCAATAAATGTGTGGGTACATGAGGCTGTCTGTTGGTTAAAAGGGGATGTTGTGATAAATAAATGTGACCCATTATTAAACCCAGTCAACTACCCACCTCCCACTCCATTCTCCTGCCGTCAACACCAGTCGCCCCAGTCTTCTTCTCTCCCTCTCTCCCTCAATCCCTCGTTGCGCCGGCCTCCACCGCACTCCACCAGACATGGCTGGTGCGGTTCGTCGGAGCCCAAATCCGCCCCCCGGAGCACGGATCTATCCGCATTGATCCTCTCCGCGGACGCCGGGAGACCAATCGGTCGACCCCGCGCACGCTGGGAGGCTAAGCCGTACTCCAGTCCAGTGGCGCGGTGAGTAACCTCCCCCCGGTCTGCTCGTCGCCTCCTCTCCGCCGCGCTCTCAAGTGTAACCCTGTATTATCAGTAGTCCTAACAAGGATCCCACGCGGGATACTTCTACATTTCAGGATCTGACTCGAAAGAAGAGACTTTAATTTCCCCTGCATTCCCCATCCAGCCTTCACCATGGAAAATATCAAGGCGCACGTGTACCATTAGCGAGGAGCGTGTCATGGATATTCAACCGCCCATGGACATTCTGCTATCTTGTAAAGTGCTTGCCTGTCGCCCTGGAAAATATCTCGCCTCCGGTTCGTCTCATATCAACAGGCTACCATTATCTGGTTTTCTCCTAAATGATTCTTTTACTGTGGAATGCACCATCACCGTGCTTAAGGAGGATCTGCCAGCACTAGCAGCAACAACCCGAGCTAAAGAAGTGTCTGGGTATGGGTCATCACCTAGCTTGCAAGACCACTTGGCTGAACTCCTGCGTACTGGAATGGAAGCGGATGTCACATTTCTTGTGTCCGGCAAGTCTTTCGCTGCGCACAAGCTCATTCTTGCTGCAAGGTCCCCTGTACTGATGGCGGAGTTCTTTGGGGACATGAAGGAGACGAGCTCTCGGTTTGTGGAGATCAAGGACATGAAAGCAGAGGTATTCGAGCCGTTGCTTTACTTCATCTACACTGATCCTGTTCTGGAATTCAGTCTTCAGCATGAGAGAGTGACCATGCTGGCTCAGCATCTGCTCGCAGCTGCCGACAGGTATGGATTGGACAGGCTTAAGCAGATCTGCGAAGGCAAGCTCTCTGATGGCATTAGTGTCGACACGGCAGCGACAACTCTGGCTTTAGCCGAGCAGCACAACTGCCCACAGCTCAAGGTTAAGTGTGTCGACTTCATTGTTAGTACTCCTGCAATCCTTGATGCTGTGTTGGCGACGGACGGATATAAGCATCTGGAGGCAAGCTGTCCTACGGTGTTGCCTGAGCTTCTCAAGTCTGCGCGGGGCTGAAAGAATTGAAGGGTAACCAGGGAGGAGTGCTAGCTAGGCCCAAGATTTTAATATGCCCGTACTCTTTGTTTATGGTTTCCATGCATGTGTGGTCTAGTAGAAACCTGTGTCTGTAATCGCCTAAAATGGAAAAGTTAGTATCCATCTATATATGTTATGAGCAACTTAATGCTTGCATTTCCTCTCCAATTTGATCTAATTTAATCCTAATGCTCTAGAATTTTGTGTTTCTATTCTTCTGTGCTTGTCAATATTTGCACAAGCTGATACATATGTGTGTACAGCTTGATAAAAATTTGCTGTTTCAGTTATGTTAAAGGCAGGGTGATTCAGAGTTTGCAGATATGATTTGCTCAGTTGCAGGCTGCAGCCACACCACATTCTGTTGTTTGTTTTACCTTGTAGTATTTGGTGTATGCTGGGAGTTCTTTTGATCATTTTGTACCATCTGATTGTCCTAGTAGTTACAAAGGGTCTTTCTGTGTTAAATAAGCCAAGAGCCAACACCTGAACCAGCCTACTGATGTCTGATTTGTGCAGTTGTACGTGTTCCACAGCATCTTGCAAGAATTTAGGCATACACGTGGTGAAATTTTCTTTTATCATAGGGCACCAATATTCTAGTCAAATTAACTTTTTCTTTTGACTACTTGTCCATGTATTTCGTCTCAGCCTGATCAGGTTTATCTAGGCAAAGCCTTGACCCAGACTGCGCTGTTTCCAATATAAAGCAAAGCAAACAGGCGAACATAACAAGGATTCTTGAAGGACAAAAACGTTACAAGTATTCCACAAATTTATTTTCGATACAAAAAGGAGTCATCTATTAATTCTTTGTAATAGTACCAAGCTAATACTCCCTCCGTCCCACAATACAAGACGTTTTCGCAAGCTGTTCATCTTGCGGAAACATTTTATATCGTGGGACAGAGTGACTATTACATTATACGACCAGAGTTCATGACCACCACACCTAAGGTGCACGCCATCGAAAAATCACGCGAACAAAACCAGTACTAAGTAGTAACAGAATGTCTCACTGAACGTAAGATTCACATAGAACTCGACAAGCTAGGAAACATTTGAGTCATGCATTGGAAATCACTATATCACATGCTGGGTCATCGGTATTGCCTGGCTGACCGCCAACTCCTTCCTGACCAATACTGTTGGCCCTTTGGGGAGGCTCTGCACCCGTGGGACGCTCCGCTACTGCTTGCACGGTTTGTGGTGGATCGTTCACCTGATGGATCCTGCACGTGTTGCCAGTTGAACATGAGACGTCGAGCTATCATTAAGCATTAGCTTATTGTATGTTTGAACGTGTAAACGAGGATCGGTGGAGTATCTCACCTAGTATCAGGATCTGATGGATAATTAATTGCCTGCATCAGGAGGTGTCCGTTGATGATCAGCACGAACCGGCAATAGTTGTTGATGCGATTCTGCATGTCCCGGAACTGGGCCACCGTGCTCTGGCCGGACCCGACGCGGCGCCACAGCGTGCTCCTGTTGTACGACTCGACGAGGCCGTCGGCGTCGTGGAGAGCCTTGCTAATCAAACCCCCCATGTCCGTGTGTTGCATCACGATCGCACAGCCGGTTGGCCACTGCAGGAGCTCACGGAGGTCGCAAGCGCACTGCACGAGCTTGGCACACTCCTGCTTGCTCTCCGGATTCCAAAGCAGGCTCATTACCCCGGCGACGAGCATGGCAGCGTGCAGCCCAGATAGCTGCGCAAGATTGGCGGCCTTCGCCAGGACGTCCCACAAAGCGGCCGCCATTTCTGCCTCTGGAATCTGAAATGATGTTAGCTCTGCCCAAAAATTAAGAACCCTAGTAAGAGTGTCAGACTGAATGCTCGTTTGGATCAGAAAATGCCTATTAGACATGAATGACATTCAATTAATCAGAAGGGAGAGGTACCTTTGTCTCGGCAGTTGTCTGTCCTGAAGAATTGGTGCTATGAGTTGAATCTGCTGCCAATATGCCCATATATATAGAGCATGTGGATGAAAAGGAGGTGCACGAAGGCTGACATAGCCATTATTTCCGTGTTTTGTTTGAAGCATTGAACTGTACCGTTTACGTGAACCGGAGCAGAACCGACCTCCCAGGAGACTCTGAAAGGGGAGTGGGAAGAGCCAGTGCTTCCATTTCCCTCCCCAAATCTGAAATTGGAGCCAAATGATCTCACAGGAGACACCGGAAGGATAGTGGGAAGAGGCAGTGCCTAAAAGTATCCTCCCGAAATGCGAAATTGGAGCAACAGTGCTAATCTCCTAGGCGCAACAGTACTTCCATTCCCCTGCCGACATGTGAGATTGGAGCAACGATGATCTCCCAGAGACTCTGCAAGGAAACAAGAGAAGAGCCTGTGCTTCAGTTCCACTCCCGCATACAAGAGGAGAGGGAAATCCATCTCTGAGAATACCTTCAAAGGAGAGCAGGGAAGAACCTGTGCTCCAGTGTCCGCCGCTATTTCCAAAACATGGCTTATAATGAGCTCCCGGCAGCAGGAGAAACTAGCAAAAATGATATAATAGCCTTTCTTTCTTGTGAAAACGAGAGGGCATGGAGTTCCAGGAACTCATCCGGAGTTCCAGCCCGTTAGCTACAGCATCTTTCCCCTCCGACTCCGGAGGCCAGAGCGAACATGGCTTCCAATGAACTCCAGGCAGCAGGAGAAGCTCAAAAGGAGATAAGAGCTTTTCCTTCTAGTGTGAAAGGGGAGGGCACCGGGAGTTCCTGGAAGTTCTCCTGGAGTTCCAGGAACTCTATCCGGAGGTCCAGCCCATTGACTTATGCGTCTCCCCGCTTCAGCCGAGAGCCGAGTAAGCTATTGTCTTTTTAAAAATAATAATTGCCAAGTGTTTGCGGTTCTATGCTTTCCAGTATTCCCTCAAGTTACGTAATTGCTGATCTGGATTAATTGGATTGGATTAGAAAGAGGTTCGGGCCTACCCCCTGAAAATCAAGGGGGGTGATTAGTTTTATAGGAAGGAAAAGAATGTAAGTTTACATATAACGTAAGTTTGCATTTTCGGTTACGAGTGGGGCATTTTGGTGGACGAGCTGCATGGAGGCCGGTATCTGCGTCGGTCGTTCTGGCGTCGCGATGCGTGGCCTCTGCGCTTTTTTCTATTTACCGTTTTTATCTGGTATAAATACAGCGGTGCTGCCTTCTCCTGTTCCCGCTTTGTACATGGGCCTATGATTGTTGTACTGCTGACTTCTCCTGCGCACGCACAAGATGTTCTGTCCGTGCGGTTCGAATTTGGCCCACCTCGCGGGCCGGTGAAGCTGGTGGGTGAGGAAAATAAATGTGTGGTTGCTGGGCCTGTTCGTGTTTGGCCACTCGACCAGAAAGTGGACAACACCGGGCAAGGGGGCAGCGCCGCTTCTCGCCATGGACGGCATGGAGTTCTTCTTCGAGGAATCTGCATCGGGGTAATATTCCTTGAAAATCTCGCTCAAGTTGTCCCACGGAGTTCTTCTTTTAGCTAGAAAATCTATCGATTGGAGTTTCCCTTTGACCTGTTCTTCAAACAATCAGATCTGGATGGCTCTCGTTTGCCTGTGCAGGTTCGTGCCGCGGTTGGACGGCGGAGTTTTCTTAAGGGATCTAGTTGCCGGCGAGCAACTTGCTGAAGGCGGCACTACTAGGAAAAGGGCTATAGATAGGATTGACACTAACGACGCACCGTGGAAACAGTGCGCCACTACTATATACTAATGGCGCACCAGTTGGTGATGCGCCATTAGTGTGGAAGACACTAATGGCGCACCAGAGATATGATGCGCCACTAGTATTTTTTTTTCCATACATACTAATAGCGCACCAGGTCGAAGTGCGCCATTACTAGTTCTAACTAGTAATGGCGCACCAGGCAGACCGTGCGCCATTACTGTATTTTTTTTATTCTTTTTTTTGCAAAACTACTAATGGCGCACCATTCCACAGTGCGCCATTACTAGTTTAAACTAGTAATGGCGCACTATGACCCAGTGCGCCATTAGTATATATATATATTTTTTTACTTTTCTGCAAAACTACTAATGGTGCACCACCTGCAGGTGCGCCATTAGTAACCAGGGTTACTAATGGCGCATTTGTTGTTGGTGCGCCATTAGTAACCTGGGACCCCAACAAGATATTTTGGACAGCCCCACACCTACCCACTCACTTTCCCCACTTCATCCCCTCCACCTCCTTCTCCAAGCTTTCGGCTGCCTCCTCCTCCTCACCTCATTTCCACCATAGATTCATCAAAATTAAGTGATGAAATTACCTTTTTTTGATAGGTAAGTAAGGGGAAAGCTATCTTCATGATGTAGATCTACTTTTTTTCTCCCTAGCTCGCTCCAACAACGTGCACATGCACTTTTTGTGGCCTAGCTAGATCTATGTATGTTTGTGGTGTTACATATATGTTTGTGTTTGCAGGTACCGGTATTTGAAATGCGATAGTTGCCAATATTTTGCCGGAATGTTGATTCATTCTGTTTCGGCGAGAATTTTGGCACTATGCATTCTTTTTTGTCCTATTTTTAGGGAAGGTCATGCCAAATTTTTTCTTGGTTCTAAAATATCGTTTTGCTCTACCCCGCAGGCGACCATGGTCCGCACGATGACCGAAGGCATCGTGAATAGGTTTTTGAGCTCCGTGAAGGCCGAGATGCTTCAAAAGAACGAGATGGAGATAAGATGTCCGTGTCGAAGATGCAAGCTGAAGAGCCTTATTGCGGACCCGGATTCTGGGTAGGTGCGGGACCACCTGCTCTTGCGTGGTTTCATGGATGGCTATCGGTGGCAAGGTGATGAAGATGACTATGAAGTCGTCCATGGGGGCAGGGCAAGAAATGAGGAAGGGCAACAAGACAAGTACCACCGCGGCGAGGGCGGGTGAGAAGACGAAGAATCTCCAGGACATGATCACGGCGGTGATGCTGTACACAGTCATCACATAGAAGATGTCGTACATGATGATGAGGAAGAT